AAATATTGTTCTGAAGTTTGTTTACTCTGTCAAAATTGAAAGAATGTGATTATTCTAAAATTATAATCAAAAAAAAACCCCCAAATTTAGTCAATATAATTGTTAAAAATCTGAAACAAATACAGTGTTTGAAAATATTGTTCTGAAGTTTGTTTACTCTGTCAAAATTGAAAGAATGTGATTATTCTAAAATTATAATCAAAAAAAAAACCCCAAATTTAGTCAATATAATTGTTAAAAATCTGAAACAAATATAGTGTTTGAAAATATTATTCTGAAGTCTGTTTACTCTGGCAAAATTAAAAGAATGCAATTATTTTAAAATTATGATTAAAAAAAAAAAGAACCAAATTTAGTCAATACGATTGTTAAAAATCTGAAACAAATGCAGTGTTTAAAAATATTGTTCTGAAGTCTGTTTACTCTGGCAAAATTGAAAGAATGCGATTATTCTAAAATTATAATCAAAAAAAAAAGAACCAAATTTAGTCAATATGATTGTTAAAAATCTGAAACAAATGCTTGCAATAATCATTGTTTGAACATATTGTCCTGAAGTCGTTTACTCTGTCGAAATTTGAAAGTATGAAAATATAAATAGCCTCATTGTTCAAGGCATTAGTTTTTTCCCAATTAAATATAATACAACAAAGTAAAATTGATTAGTTTCAAAATGGCAAATCCTGAGTTTGTTTTTCACACAGATCTTGAAGAACTCAATGCCTCTAAAGAAAATAGAGAAGAGATTTTTACCATTGATCAAATTAATCTTGAAAATGCTCGAACCTTACTCAATGATGATGATAAAAGTGAAGTAAATGACAATTATGAAAATGAAGTAAGAAACGATGATGAAAATGAAGAAATTGTCATGAAACTAATTTAATCGATGAAGAGTTTTAAAGTAAGGATGAATTTTATTTGTGTTGAACAGACTGAGCAATACATGAAGGTTAGTGTTTTCTCTTTTATACAGAATTTCTTTTACAACTATTATTAGGGCGATTACTAATACTAATTACCTTTGACTATCAATGACTATATAATTCATGCGCTTAACTAACTATTACTAATTTAACTAATATATGACTACATTATTTATGCGCTAGTTGATAATACTAATATATGACTACATTATTTATGCACTGATTGATAATACTATGTTGGCTATTAATTAATTAATGGATGATTCCATTCTCTACACATTGGAGGCACTGGAGTTCCAGGCTTGGTCTTGAGAGTCACAGGTCTAAAAGTTACAGGCTTGAGTGTCACGGGATAAGTCACAGCTAGATCTTCAGGTCAGAGCTTGGTTGTTACACCATTTCCCTCTTAACAATTTTCTTCCCTTATCGTTATTGCAAAAATTACGGTCGCATTTTGAAACAGGTTTAGGTTTGTCAGGGTGCTGACGATAAAAAACTTCTACTGCTTCCCCAGTGTGTTCCACATTTTCCCAAGACTCCCACAAACGCTTACTTGCATTGTAACCCTCCCAGTTAATCAGATAATATACTTTTCTTCAAACTAATTTTGTATCGAGTATTTCTTTAACTTCATATTCACATGCTTCATCAATAATTATGGGTGGTAGTGGCTTCGCCACTCTTCCGAGAATCGTATTTGCCATGTATAGCTCCAACAACAATACATGGAAGGTATTATGGATTTTAAAAGAGGGAGGTAAAGTTAGACAATATGCTGCCGGGCTTATTTGTGCTGCAATTTCAAATAGCCCTAGTTTCTGATGATCTAATTTTTCTGAGGGTCTCTCAGTTTTTATGTTCCATCTTACTAACCACACTTTGTCTTCAATATTGTAAATAGGGGCTTCTTGTTGGTGCCTATCAGCATATTTTTTGTATCGTTCTTGTGCAGCACTTAATTCAATGATTAATCTTTCTTGTATATGCTATAAATTAACCACTATAGTTTTTGCTGATAGAACTGAAACATGAATAGGGTCTTGCATATCAAAACGAGGATGAAAGCCATAATTGGCGAGGAATGGGGCTATTTGTATAGACAAATGGATGGAATTATTATAAGCAAATTCTGCAAAAGATAACAATTCTGTCCAGTTATCGTGGTGGTAGTTAATAGTGCATCGTAGATACTGTTCCAGTATCTGGTTTACCTGTTTGCTTTGACTATCGGTTTGGAATAGTAGGCTATCGACAAATTAACTTTTGTGCCTAACAACTTGAACAGCTGTTTCCAGAATTTGGATGCAAATTGAGGGCCCCTATCTGAAATAATTTCATCAGGGACTCCATGTAGTCGAACCACATCTCAAAAAATTAGGCGAGCTGTTTGTTCCGTGTTGATAGACTTGTTGTATGCAATAAAATAGGCCATTTTAGTTAGCCGATCCACCACTACAAGAACTGAATCAAAGCCAGAAGACAGAGGTAGGTCAGTGATAAAATCCATGGATATGGACTGCCATTGTCTTTTTGGAATGGGTAAGGGGACTAACAGCCCTGGGGTTTAGTGTTTACGAGATTTTGTCCTGGCACAGATGTCGCAGGATTGTATATATTTCCGAACGAAAGGCCGAAGTTTGGGCCACCAATAGTCCCTTGTGATTACTTTGATAGTTTTTGCAATACCAAAATGCCTGGCCAATTTTGAGTCATGCCTCGTATAGAGAATCTCTAATCTCTCAGGTGTTTTCGGTACATACAATAGGCCGTCCCAAAATAAAAGACCATTGTTATATGAAAATTTGTCAAGGTTGGAACGGGGTTTCTTTGATGCTATATTAGTATGAGTTAGGTGTTTGATTATACTCTTAGCAAGATGATTTGATTTTAATTGACTTTGGATTTGTTTAATTAGGTCAGAGTCAATAGGGGCCACTGTCATTGTATCAAGACAAAGTTTTCTGGTTTTAGTAATATAAACTACTATTCCTCAGTTGCTCTTCTTTCTTGAGGTTGGTGGTTAGGCCTTCTAGATAAGGCATCAGACTTCCCTTGCTCTTTGCCAAGCCGATAAGTGATTTCAAAATTATAATTTGACAAGAGGAGAGACCACCGGGCCTGATGTCTGTTGAGAGTTTGGGCGGAAGTGAAGTACTGCAAGTTTTTATAGTCACAAAGAATAGTGATTTTATGCTAAGCACCTTTCAGATAGTGTTGCCATTGCTTGAAGGAAGCTACAATCGCCAAGAGTTCCTTATCATGTACGTCATAGTTGATTTCTGAAGGTAAGAATTTACGCAAGTAATAAGCGACAGGGTGCAAGTACTCATTAGCCTGTAGTTGAGAGAGCACAGCTTCCAGAGCAAAATCGGAAGCATCAGTTTCCAGAAAAAATTGCTTTGTTGGGTCTACATGGCAAAGGATTGGAGCAGACATGAATTTCGATTTTAATAGCTCAAAAGTCTGTTGGGCATGAGCAGACCAGTGAAAGGGGGTTCTAGATTTTCAGGTCAGGTTAGTAAGTGGAGTAACAAGTTTGGAGTAGTCCTTGATGAAGTGGCGGTAGTAATTGGCAAGACCTAAAAACCATTGTACTTCTTTGAGCGAATTTGATACAGGCCAAGTTGAGATACTCTCCACTTTGTTACTATCCATCTGAATTCCTTGAGGCGAAATTATGTACCCCAAAAATTCAACACGCTGCTTGTCGAATTCACACTTTTCTAGCTTCGCATATAGGCCGTGTCGATGCAGAAGTTTTAAAACTGCCCTTATATTTTTGTCATGTTCCTCTTGATTTGAAGAGTATACTAACACATTGTCTAAATATATAATGACAAATCTATCTAAAAACTCACTGAAAATATCATTCATCATGTGCTAAAAAATGGCAGGGACATTGGTTAGCCCAAAAGGCATAACCATATGCTTAAAATGTCCATATCAAGTATGAAAAGCAGTTTTCCATTTGTTTTCCGGGTGTATGTGAACTAAATTATAAGCTCCTCTAAGGTCAATTTTGGTAAACAATCGAGCTGAGGAGAGTTGGTCAAGTAATTCTGAGATAAGTGAAAGGGGGTATTTATTTTTGATAGTAATCTGATTTAATTTTCTATAATCTACACATAGGCATAGAAATCTGTCTTTTTTTTGAACAAAGAGGACAGGGGCCCCAGCAGGTGATCTTGAGTGTCTAATGAAGCTGTTACTCAAATAGTCCTCTATATACTCCCACAGTGTTTCAAGTTTCTTTGTAGTTAAGTTGTATATAGGGCCCCAAGGAGGTTGTGTTCCTGGTAATAAGTCAATACCACAATCATATAGTCTATGCTCTAGTAACTTATCTGCTACTCTCTTGTTAAAAACATTCTGGTAATCTTGGTATTTGCTGGAGATACTTTGTAGGTTGTCTCTTGCAGGAGTATCTGATGTGGAGGCAAGGAAAACCTGGGCCACAAAAACTTTCTTTTGCCCTTTTGATGTATAGTTAAAAATATTTTTATCCCTTGTTATCTGGTGTTTATGATATTGAACACAAACAGGGTTGGAGAAAATAATGTTGCGGGCCCTCCAATCGATAATTAGATTATGCAAAGTTAGCCAGAGTAGGCCCAGTATTAGTGAGTATTGTGGTGACAAAATAAGGTGAAATTGTAACTTTTCAGAGTGATTAAAGAGAGTAAGAGTTAGGGGTTCTGTTTCCTGAGTAACAAGTCTAGAAGAAATTTCCCAACCATCCACAACTTCCACAGACAAAGATAGGTTTATGTCTATAGTGGATATGCATACTTGTTGTGCTAATGTGGAGTCTAAAAAGTAAGCAGAAGCTTCTGAATTTAATAACGCTTCTGCATTTAAAAAACGACCGTCAGGGAGTTGCAAGAGTACTGTGAATGAGAAGGCATTTGTGGAAGTGTGGTTAAATGGTTTAGGGGGTATTTTATTTGTTAGGTCCAGTCTCAACCCCTTTACTGAGACTGGAGCTCCCTTTTCCTGAATCTTCATCCAAGCTTGTCATTAAGGAATTGACTCTATATTGTTTATTTTTCCTTGGACATGTTTTGACAATGTGACCTGTAGGGTTCCTACAAATCAAACTCAAATCAAACTTTAACTAAGTTTGAGTTTGATTTGAGTTTGAAGCATTAAAGTT